CATTTTGTGCACCCATGTTATAATCCAATTTTAGGCCTGAAAATTACTTAAAACATTATATATTTTCTAAAAGCCAAGACCGTGTAGAATAAAATGTTGGCAGGTGCAAATTTTTATGTTGCACGACATTAGCGCAACACTTTATCAAACCCCAACATTTTGTGGAAATGCACTTAAATGCTCCAAAACACAATATAATACCCTGTTTTTTGGTAAAATATAAAAGATGAGGTTACAAGGAGTAAATAGATACCTAAGTCCATAGATGATGCTTTAAAAGCCCCTACAGGTCATGAGTTTAGAAATACGTACAAATATTGGCCCTTGAATTATTGCACTCACTCTGGCGTGAGCGGCGATACTCAACATGTGTAGCACGATTATCGTTTTCTTATGTAGACGCACCCGATGCGCGTCTATGTGAAGACGCACTTACTCGCAGGGGCGGGGGAATTTTTAAAATTGTTTTTACATTTATTTCATTTAATATTATTTTTAATTTTTTTTTTAACTTTACTTGCTATCACCTAGGGGGGCTTAAATAGTGTGGGGAGGAGATCGGTGAATGGACCCACCGACACCCAAGATGCCGGTCCCGGGAGGGAAAACATGGAAAACAAGCAGACACGGAGGGGGTGTCGGGCGAGGGGGGGCGGGCAGTTTACCGGTCCTGTAGAAGCAATCTGGTGACAGCTGAGTCACCAGAATTGCTTCTATTTTAAAGCAGTCAGCTTTACAAATGTAAATAGAGCTTTCTTTTTTAAACGGGCCCACTGCCAGTGACATACCATGTAGGTCACTGGTTGTGAAGGGGTAAATATACTGCATGTGTTATAGCTATTTGAATGTGCAGTTTTGTCCTTTCTGTCCTATTTTGCATATACTGCATACCATATTTGTATACATAGTTTCACATACCTACATACACAGCGCTCTCCTCCCGCAGCGCTCGGCCGGCTGCCACTTTCTCTCCTCCACGTTGGGACACAGAGCAGCGCCCAGCGGGGAGGAAAGAAAGCAGTGATGCGCCGCTGTATCGGCAGAAAAATGGCCCTTTCGGCATTCAGCCAAAAGTGCCATTTCCTGCCGATATATTTTGGCGGGCGATATATCTATGCATCCCTAATATTTACAGCAATGCAGAATGGCACAGGCTATAGGGGACTACACATCCCAGCAATACTTTATATAACAATAGCATTTCTGTATAAAGTACTGCTGAGATTTTTAGTCCTCTATAGAGGGTGCCATTCTGCATTGCTGCAACAGTACTTTATACAACATTAGGCTACAAATAATAATTATTTTAATGAATTATTTACCCCCCCCCCCTCACCTCTTCTGGCTGGTCTTCTGTCTTCACCTGTTTCCTATGTGTTTTCTGATTGCTGGGTCCTCACTGCCGTCCGAGGCTCCATGATGTGCCTGCAGGGCTGTCTTCAATGCCTCATACTATCTCAGCCGGCGGACAGGCCCCCCGATTTTAGTGCATTGCAGGGCGCCCCCCCCCCATTTTGGAGTGTCAGATGTTAAGATCAGTATCCGGTGGCTGGCGGGCCCCCCATCTCTGTGCCGGGAGTGTCGGATGACACTCCTGGCACAGAGACTGGGGGCCCGCTGTCTGCTGGATACCGATCCAGTGCTATCCAGCGGCCGGCAAGTCCCACCATCTATGCACAGGGCCTGTGCTGGGGCCACCCAGGCTGAGGCACCGGCTGCAGTTCCGCCACTGTATAACCCCCCCACACACACACACACTCTTTATACATTGCACCCCTCTCTACATATACCTTACCCCCCTCTCATATATATAAACTCCCCATCTCGCTAATCTCGCTATATACACATTGCCCCCCCATCTTGCATCTCTCCATTGCCACCTCTATACATTGCCCCCTCTCTATACACATTGCTCCCTATCGATACACATTGCCCCCCCTCTATATACATTACCCCCCTCTCGCACGCTCTGCCACTTCGCACACAGCCGAACGAGTGGGCGGGGACTGGTCAGTAGCGGCAGCATGCTGTGATTGGCGGAGGGTTGCCATGGCGATAAAACGGATGATCCGACACTCTCGGCGCAGAGATGGGGGGCCGGCTGGCTGCTGGATACCGATCCGGTGCTGGGAATGTGCTGGGCCCCCCCCGCCAGGCCGAGGACCTGGTGCGCCCGCACCGGCTGCCCAAGCGGTAGTTCCGCCACTGCAATGGACGCACCCCTAGCTATTCATTCCCATACTGTCTGTTTTTTTTTTATTCTGACGGCAAAAACACCCCAGCAGATAGCAAGGGAAGCATTAGGTTCTCTGCTATCTGCCATAATTTCAGAGAGGTGCCCCCCCCCCTCCTGCCGATGGGGGGGGAGAGGGCACCTCTCTGAAGAAATTACTTTTTCAGGTTGGGATGCCTGCTGATGTAAGGTAGGAACAGAAAAGTCTTATGAGAAGAAGGGTGCAGTGATATCAGAAGCTCTGCCCGGCACTGAGCTGAGCCGGATGAACAGGTTTTTTTATCGCTTTGCTGCCATTTGCCCTGCTGGTCCGATCCAGCAATACCCAATGCCTGTACTGTTTACACCATTGTGAGTACGCATTTTTTATTTAATAAATTGCATTTTATTGGACATTACGCACTATGTCCTTGTCCTTTTTCTCTTTCCACCTGGATTTATACTGGTACCTGTGATCTGAGGAGACCTTATCGCCTTTTCTGTGCATGGGCTTCCCTCCCCCATTAAGAAGGGGAAAAGCGCATCCCCAGGTGAGCACTCACTTGTCATCACTCACTGGGTGGAGGTGAAGGTCTGCCTGCATTGTGTGATTATCCTTACCTGAAGGTCCCCACACACCTTACGATAATCGTACGATAATCGCGAGAAATCCCGCGATCGTACGATTATCGTAAGGTGTGTGGAAGCCATGCGACCTCTACTACTGTAAGGTTGCATGACTTTAAACTTACGGACATGTTCGAAAACCCGCCGAGCATCGTACGATGTTCGGCGGGTTTGTTGCATGTCCGTACGATAAAAGCCGTACGGGCCGGTGTGCAGCGCACACTGCCCGTTCGGCATTGCGGTCATCGGAAGCCCGCCCCTCAGGGGGCGTGGCTTGCGATCATCGCAAGTACGATCTGCCTATGCAAGATAGGCAGATCATACGTTTTTTTAAGTACCTTACAACCATCGCAAGACAAAAGTCTTGCGATGGTTGTAAGGTGTGTGCCCAGCCTGAGAGTTATATGCAGATTGGCTGCGAATCATCTGAAGGATTTTTTTTTGCCCAATCACTATTGTTTGCTTTTGTTTTTTCCTTGAGACTTTTTATTGTCTGTATTGCTTTTTTGTCTTTGTGTAGATATTTTATATGCCTCATTTGTTTGAAGGCTCATAAATGTGACTCATTTATATATATGTTTCAATTTATTAGATATGTATGATTATTAGCTCGGCACAATATTGTTTTTCACATTTTTTAGATATTTAGTTATATCCTTAGTGCTTGGTAGCTCTTATTTCCACATTACACTTACTGGCGCTGATCACCTTTATTGTTTATTTATATGAGAAGAAGGGCTGAAGGCTCTGATGTGAAGGGGAGACTGAAGACCCTGATGTGAAGGGGCTTCTGATGTCAAAAGGGGAAACCCACATTATTTTTGTGTGTTTTTGCCTGAGGTCCCCTCTTAAAATCTATACTAGACTCCGTCTGGGATAAGGTTCTAGTATGGATTTAGGAAGGACCACACATCTCTTTTTTTACATTTATATTTTTACATTTTACACTGGGGTTCCTTGACATTTTGCATACATTTAGGCCCTGTTCACACCTTTACATAAGGGAACATGTGGCACGTTCACGCGAGTTTGTGTGTCTTTAAAGCCCTGTTCACATTGACCGATTTATCGCGCGGTAATTCCCACGATATCGCGGCAAATTACCGCGCGATATCGCGCTCCAATGCATTTCAATGGGGCAAAGGGTCCTGCTGTCGCGGGTCGTGTGTGTCTACAGCAGGACCATTTTTGGAGCGGATGTAGCCGCGATTCAAGCTTGCTCAATGCAAGCTTGAACGTGATATCGCGCGGCAAATCTCGCGATATCGCGCAATATGCAAATCGCGCGACAAATGCGCGATTTGCATATCGCTCAGTGGGAACGGGGCCTTATTCTGCGTTTGCCGCACTTTGCCCATTGATTCCAATTGGTGCCACACACGCAACAAACACAGGAAGGTAGCTCAAGCAGCAGATTCTGCTGAAGCCATAACGCATTTTTTTCTGTGCATTTGTGTAGGGTGACCATTCGTCCGGATTGAGGAGACCATCCCCGGACAAATTATGTCCCAAATTATGTAACATTTGCCAATAAAAAAAGTCCCCGGATTCTATTTAAAAAATCTGGTCACTGTAGTTTGTGTGCATTTTAAAACGCATTTTATCCCCCACGTTTGGGGTGCCATTAACAAGAGTTGCATGTTTTTGACAGGCTCCATAAATGTGCGTCAAAGCACATGCTTGATGCACGTTTATGGAACGCGAAGGTGAAGAACACTGCTTTAGGCTCGGTACAGTAAAGCACTTGAAGTTGATACCAGTCTCAAGAAAAAATAAAATAGATTTATTTTTAAAACCTGTACATAATGTTTCTCACTCAAAAAACCCTGCGGGCTTTCTTAACCCTCCTGCACATTCACAGATCTCTGCTGTGGTGCAGGAAAGTGAGTTGGTCGTTTTGTTACATTCCAATAAAGCTTTTTGAAAAAAAAAAAAAAAGAAGCTCGAGCGATCCAGAGGATAGAGCTGGAGGCCGTGGATAGTTTGCAGTTCACATTGCTGGGATGTTTTAGCAGGAGGCAGCTTTCCATTGTGTGCAGCCTGAAGAGTGTCAGGAAATCAAACAACACACAGAGATCAGGAGGAGGAGAGGGACTGCGAGTGGCCGCACAGTGCGGAGAGCCGCCAGGGGAGCATGCTATCCCTCTCCCGGGGAAGAAGGAGAACAACTTAGAGAAGTTGTAGAGGAGGAGGGGATAGACTCGTGTGACTGCCACATACTGCCGGACCATGACTGCCCGAGCTGGCCCATGACAAGGTACTATGGGAAACGGTATGTGCTCCAGAAGGCAGAAGAGGATCTTCCAGGCGATCGCCTTCCTAGCTGTAGCCATCACATTCATCTATGGAGCTCTGCTCAACTACGAGCTGCAGAAGCAGCTGAAGAAGGCTGAGGTATTGGCAGTGAAGTATCAGCAGCACCAAGAGTCCCTGTCTGCACAGCTACAAGGTATGTGTGCCAGCCTGAGGAGGGGGGGAGCCCAATACAGACAGCTGTGGAACTACAAGGCTCAGCACACACATTATTTATATGACACTGACCAATTACACTTAATGGCAGTAGATGACTGGTTAGCACTTCTGCCTTGCAGCCCTGAGTGTCCCAGGTTCAAATCCAGCCAGGTCACTATCTGCATGGAGTGTGTATGTTCTCCCTGTGCTTATGTGGGTTTACCTGTGGTACTCTGGTTTCCTCCCACACTACAAAGACATGCTGGTAGGTTAATTGGCCCTGTGTGTTTGCATGTGGGATGGGGACCTAAGAGGGCAAGGACTGTCTTATAGAATGTTTTGTACGACATTTAGAAATGATCATTTGACCCGACTATTAGAAAATCAAACAACGCACATTGGGGGGAATTTATCAGAACTGGAGCAGACAGAATCTGGAGCAGTTGGCCAGAGCAACTAATTGCCTTTACGCTTCAGTTTCTTCAGTGAACATTTGGAAATGAAAGAGAGAAGCTGATTGGTTGCAATGCACAGCTGCTCCAGATTTTCACTGCTCCAGTTTTGATAAATTCCAAAGACACTCTACTGCTGTATGGCCAGTTTTAGTTGCTGGTGATTTTGGCTCCTTTCACACGGGCGGTCTGATCAGGTCTGCCTGTTGGTTTTTCAGGTGTTCCCAATCGGATGCCCAATGCTAGTCTACAGGCAGCCAGGTGTAAATGGACAGGCATCTGTTTACACCCAGTTACCCCTGACTCTGGCCAGGAGCGGAAAAACAAATGGAACAGTGTCCCGTTTCACTGGATTGGGGGTAATCTGATGTAACCAGACACGTGTCTGTTTGCATCCGACTCCCCATAGACCAGGGGTAGGCAACCTTGGCTCTCCAGCTGTGCTGAAACTACAAATCCCATGATCCCTTTGCCTCTGGGAGTCATGCCTGTGGCTTGCAATGCCTTATGGGATTTGTAGTTTCAGCACAGCTGGAGAGCCAAGG